GGAGGTGTTTAAGAGGCATTTGGACCTGACACTGGAGGATATGGTTTAGGAGTTCCAGCAGTGACAGGTTAATGGTTGGACTCGATGATCTTAGAGGTCTCCTCCAATCCTGATGACTCTAATGCCCTGTGGAAGGAGACCCACCCACCAGGCCCCATCCCACCACACTGCTGGGAACAGGAGCACCTCCAGCTCTCTGCAGTGAGGGGAAGCACTGGGTGATTCCTGGGACAGGATGGGCAGAACAGCTGCTGACAGCTCATCCAGCCCAGGGAAAGCCTCATGAACCTGCCTGTAGTCCCAGAGGCACAACCCTGCACAAGGGTTACCCCAGCAGAGGCTCAGGGCTCAGTGCCTCAGCTTCCCTTGGCACCTAACAGCCCCTCTGGAGTTCCAGGTGCTGAAATCCTACCCCTGCACTGCTCCAGGAGCTGTGACCATCACATGCTGGGAATGGGCAGCCAGAGGAGTCAGACTGCCCCTGGGACTTGCTCTCGCCACACAACACCAGTTGGCCACATCATCTCTTACACTGCCTGGCTGTCACTTCTCATCCCCTGTGCCATCAGCAAGGCCAAGTCCATGCTGCCAGCGCAGCCCTGGGAGCAGGGTTGGGATGTGAGATGCATCACACCATGGGCACAGACTTCCTGAACCACTGAAATATTACTCAGAGCTATCCATGATCCTAGAGGTCTTTTCCAGCTTGAAAGATTCTGTGATCCCACCTTCCCCCTCCAGTGGAAATCAGATCTGCTGCCACACAGGGGAACCTCCAGGGCACAGCTCTGGTCTGACCAGTTCTACAGCACATTGAACCCGAACCAAAACAAAGAACCCACACACTAGGGCTGTGCTGAAGTCACAGGCTGCAAAAAGGGCCAACACCACAGGGAATGCGCTCACACCTCATTCCCAGGTAAAGACCTTTCCCTATGGAGCAGCTATAGAATCTCAGCTCCTGCCCCTCTGCCACTCACTCTGCTGCTTCTCTTTCCAGCAGTTGTTCCGGAGGTTTGCAATGTAGTCATCTTCCACACTCCTCTCCACATTCTTCAGGTTGGTGCCTGTGTATTCCTCTGCAAAGTTCTCAGACACATAGTAGGGGACTTTCAGGTGCTCTGTGACTCTCTTGTGTGTGTGACCCACAGACCTAGGCCAGGGAGAAGAGCAGAGCATTGTAGGACAGGCTGAAAGGGCAGAGGAGAGCCCCCAGTTCATTCTAACACACCGTCTGACATGACAGCAATCCACTGGGAACATCCCTCACTCCTAACCATCCACAGGCTGGAAAGGAGAAGCATTTCTGGTGGAAGTGAACCACCAACACAGGGAAGGAGAAGCTGCCAGGCCTCCAACTAGGTGGGCAGAGCTCTGAATGCAGACACAGCTCCCAGGCAGATTGCCCAGGGCCTAAACCCACTTAAAATAAAGTGTTTGCTAGATTTTCAGCACTAATTAAATCTCTCTGCAATTTCCTCCATGCTCTGCTGCTGGCAGTGAGCTCCAAGGATGGGTGCGCAGCTCAGAGGCTGCTGCTCATGTGGTGCAGGGTGAGAGCAGCCAGCAAGGCAGGATGGGGCATGCACCAAGGTGAGAGCAGCACAGGGTCTGTCACAGCCCCCCTCAGCCCCAGGAACCTCTGCTGAGGGATCTACTAACCCCAGCAGCCTCAGCTTCCTTCAGCACATCACATGCTGCAACCAGCACTGTGGTTGCAGGGACAGAATGAGACCTGCTCTGTGCCTCAGCCTGCACCAACCAGCACAGAAAGCACTTGCCAGAAGGAAATCGCTTCCACCCCTGCCCCTCGGGGCTTGCACTGCAGACAAAGCCCTGCCCTTGCTTCCCCTGGCACTCCAGCACACCCAGAGGCACTCAGAGGGGTGTGTGTGCCACAGGAGCTGTGCCCAAGCGCTGGATCCATTGGGATCAGCTCCATCTGGAGCCGTGCCCAAAGCTCCCCACAATAAATGCCAGCTGGCTGCTGCCCTCAGAGCCAGGTGTAAACATTAACTTCTCCTGCCCTTCAGCCTGCCATCGGGGTTTGCAGGAGTGATTCCAACACTCCTGCACGTGTCCCCAAGGCCCAGCTCTTGGGGATAAGTGTCGGGGACACGATGGGCTGAGCAAAAAGCTCTCCTGGCATTTCTGGAGGCAGAGGTGCAATCTGCAAGAAGCTCAGCTCACTGTTTCACCTGTGACAGAGCCCTGAGCTCTTCCAAAGCTGTAAGAAGCGGAACTACCAAGTGTGCTCTCACAGAAGGATCGAAGCTGGCAGACTGGAAAGGAGCTGAGCCAGGCACAGCGTTCCCATTGCACCAGGCAGGCTGAGCGCGATCCAGCAGCTCCTCCTGCCGGCTCGGCACAGTCTCAGCCCAGCTGAACAGCCCCGGGGCTCAGCAAGGCTCAGGGAGGACTGGATCAGCTCATCTGATGCCCGTGTCCAAATCCAGCCTTGGAAACGGCACAGCCTGCTACTGTCTGAGCAGGCAGAGATAGCACAGGGAACGTCAGAAGGGCAGGGAACTGCTGGAGCAAGTCCAGAGGAGGCCACAAAGTTGATAAGGGGACTGGAGCACCTTCCCTACAAGGACAGGCTGAGGGAGTTGGGGCTGTTCAGCCTGGAGAAGAGAAGGTTGTGGGGAGACCTCAGAGCAACCTGTCAGGACCTGAAGGGGCTCCAGGGAAGCTGCAGAGGGACTCTGTGTTAGGAACTGCAGCGACAGAACAAGGGGCAACGGGGAGAAATTGAAAGAGGGAAATGGAGATTATATCTAAGGAAGAACTTTTCGGGGACTGGACTGGAATGTCTCTCAGGTCCATTCCAACCCCTTAAGATACCCTGATAACTATGAACTGAGCAGTGGAGAAACATCTCGAGCTCAGGAAAGTGCCAAAAGCACTTCACAATTGCCTCATCTCTTGGTTCCAAGCCCTAATGTCTTAAGTCTTTACCTTGGACCTGGAAGCTAAGCTGTTTTATAGTATTTAACATCATGCACCATCCCTGGCCAGGTGTCCATTCCAACCCCTTAAGATACCCTGATAACTATGAACTGAGCAGTGGAGAAACATCTCGAGCTCAGGAAAGTGCCAAAAGCACTTCACAATTGCCTCATCTCTTGGTTCCAAGCCCTAATGTCTTAAGTCTTTACCTTGGACCTGGAAGCTAAGCTGTTTTATAGTATTTAACATCATGCACCATCCCTGGCCAGGTGGGATGGAGCTCTGAGCAACCTGGGCTAGTGGAAGGTGCCTCTGCCCATGCCAGGGGTGGAATGAGATGAGCTAAGGTCCTTCCAAACCATTCTGGGATTCCATGACTCATTCCATTTGTCAGTCCAGTGCGCAAATCAGGGCATTTTCACAGGATGTAGAAGGAAACAGTGTAACTTTTGCATTGTAAATGTGTGGCCAAAGCGATTTCCTGGCAAGATGAGAGTTCAAAACTAGGGGATTTCCCTGGGAGTGTCTTACTCCTTCTTCTCTCTCTCCACAGCTTTGCACTAGGCATAAAGTGAGGCTTTCATAAAGAACAGATCTGACTCTTGTTTTTCACTTCCCAATTTAACTCTACACCTCGATTTGCTCTCCATGTGGGATCTCAGTGCTGGGCTGAGCCTTCCAAAGCCATTCTGCCTGTCCCTTTGCAGGACAGACAGAGCCAGCTGTGGGGATGAGCTGCAAGAGGTCAATGAACTCCCTTAGGGAAGTGAGCACTCTCCAACCTCCCCTGCAGCTTCTCTCTCACCCCTGTCTGAGAACCAGGAGGACTTCACTGCTGTGTAACAGTTGGCAGCAAGAGCAATCGTGTGATGAGGTAAAGCAAAAAAGCAGGGGAAAAAAGCAGTCCTGGAAAAGAGAGAGCCTAGATCCCTGCCCAACCAAGCCCCCTGCCCCCAGAGCCCACCCCCTCCCCACAGGGATACGCTTTGAAGGAAAGGTACTAACGGCCTGTGGCTCAGACTGTAGGGTGGGCTGGACACCATCATCTGGCTGAGGGCAGACACAATGATCAGGATGAGGATGGGCATCAGCTGGACAAACAGCCCCAGGCCACCCTGAGGGAACAGAAACACACAGTGGAGTGTCACCCACACACTGGTATGCAAGGATCCCACAGCAACACCCTCCCTCCCAGTGCTCCAACACAATCTCCACTCTCCTGCTTTTGGCTTAGGAGTAACCCAAATGCCTGGGAGGAACCCACACCCCCCAGGGCAGTGTGACCCTGAGGGTCCAAACCCACTGTGGATGTGACAGAGGACAGGGGGAGAACCTTCTGAGTGAATTCCCAAAGCCTCATGCCCGTATTTTCTTCTTCTAGCGTAAATGTGGTTTCTGTGCTGCTCATGAGCAGGACTGGCTCTGTGGAAAACCTTCTCCCCTTTGCAGTGTTGGATGACAGCAATTCCCCTTCTCCCTCACCTCCTGAGCTCCCTCCACTTCCAGCAGAGCACACTTTCCCTCTAAGCTTGAGGAAAAAGCATTCAGGAAGTTTGTTTTAAAGACAGATAATTAGCTATTCCCAGCAAATAATCATCTTTAGGACATCATCCTGACTCCAGCTTTCCCTCCCAGGGGTGGCAACAAGCAGGAGTGTTTCCCCAGCCAGCCACAGCAACCAGCTCACCATCCCAGTCCTCCCATCCCCTGGGTTGTTCTGCACTTACATCACCCTGGTGCTCCCTCCTGTCCTGCCTCTGGTGGTAGGTGTACCTCATCCTACCGTTGCTGTACACGTGAACGTTACCTGCAGGCGGAAGCAAACTGTCACACCACAGTCAGAGCACTTTGGATGGTGCTGCCTGGCCAAGGAGCAACCACCAAAGGTGGCCAGAATCCATGCCACCAGCTTCCAGGCTCAACAGGAAGATTGGTAAGGTGTGCTGAGCAGCTGTCTGAGTGCAGAGTTGGCACAGAGATCCTTCCAGAAGGTTTGGTAGGATCATAGGTTGGAAGTGACCACCTGAGCACATCCAACCTGCTCCAAGAAGGCTCAGCTACACAGACAGAACATCCTGTACAGGCCTCCTGGCTTCTGGTTGGATTTACTTCAGATTAAACCCACTGATAAATAAAAATAATTCTGGTGTTTCCCCCCACTGAAAACAAAGCTCTTCCAGGGCCTGTTTGAAATGTCAAAGCTCCAGCTGCAAGGACGCCTGGCTGAGAGCTGTCCTGGATTCTCTTGGGACACTAAGGAGAGGAAAAAAAGGCTGAGCTAAAATAGCAACGTGCTGTTTTCACTGGAGTGGCTCTGCCTCTCTGCCAGGCAGGACAGGAATGCTGCAAAGGCCTTGCAGATGCCTCTGAGAGTCACTGCTGTGGGTGTGTCAGTTCTTACACACCAGACAGGGAAGAGCTACCAGAGCAAATCTTCAGTGAAACCAAAATACATAGTTTTCAAGTAGGTCCACACAGGCCAGATAACCCCCGAGTCCACTGCCAGTCAGATATGACAAGGGAGTCCTCCAAAATCCCCTTATCCTGCCAGGAAATCTGTGTCTTTGCTCAGAACAGGCACTTGGTTCCTTCCTGCTACCCAGGCCATGATGAGCACTGTGGTCAGACAGGATGCAGCTTCCATTTCCAACTCTAGAGGTTTAAATTATGCTCTAGAAATAACACTTTCCTCTTGTTTAGGGGACAGCAGTCAGTGGACACTGGTGTTGGAGAAGCTGCTCCAGCTGTGTGCCAGAGCAGACACAGATCAACAACAAGGCCCAAGAGTTACCACAGTTTGCTCTGCTAAAAAGGTTTAAGTTCTAAACCCACCAGGCAGCAAGGTTTCCTTAAAAGAGGATTATTTTTACAAGAAGCCTTAAAACAAGGCATTTTTTGTTTTAACCTTCAGCCCAACCCAAGAGCAGCTAATGGTGCCAGCAGGGAAACAAACACCTGAAGCTGGGAAGAAGTCCAGCTCTGGTGGTGTTACCTGCTGGATGCTGAGCTCTCCAAGGACCCACTGGAACAATTCCAAAGGTCAGGTGTGGAGGAGAACTCTCACCAATCACAGGGTGATAAATCACCACTGCACTGCTGCTCTATCAATAGTATCATGTCCCACTCAAGAGATGAAGGTTTAAGGTGCTTACTAGAAGGAAAACCACCCCCAAAGAACATGTTGAAGAGGTCCTCAGGGGAGATGTCTGCCTCAAAGCCACGGTGGAAGTCGGAGTGGCTGTGCCCATGTCGAGCAGGGTTGAGTTTCTCATCTCCAAACTGGTCATATTGCTTCCTCTTCTCGGGGTTGCTGAGCACGGCGTATGCATTGCCGATGGCTGAAACATGGACAACAAGACAGCATCAGCTTCTCCCTCCTGCAGACCCAGCCCTGCAGGCAGTCAGGACTTGCCCTTCTCATCACACAAATTGATTCTCAACTCCTATGTCTTGTCCACATGCTCCTGGCATACACACACACACGAGGGAAACCACACTGAGAGACTCAGTGCAAAAGGCCTTAATTAGCTCTAATGAAGGAGTTATATGACTGATATAATTTGGTGTATGCCCTTGTAGAAACCATTCAGCTGTGGGGGAAAACACAATGTCAGTTGACAAATTTGCTTCCAAAGTGGCATTAAGGGAATTCAATGCCAGAGCCCAAAAACCAGAACTGCAAAGAATTTAAATCTCTCTGCAAGAGACTTAAAACTTTCCATAAAAGCCACTGAGGAAACATTAGCTCCAGGTGGGTCTATGAGCTATAGATGTGTGTGTGAGCTCTGAATTGTGTCTGTCAGCCATGGATTTCAGAACTTCCAGATGCCAGGAGTAAGGTGCGAAGCTACCAGGCCTGCTGAGCAGTGCCTGTGCTGGTGGAAATGTACTGGAGCTGAAGCCCTGCCAGTTCCCTGGGTCACTCTCTCTCCAGCCTCAGCACTTGAGAGCTTTCCTCCAGGAATGTCTTCGGCCACCCTATTTCAGTACTTCCTTCTCCACATGTTCCAGCTTCCCACTTCCCCTCTGGACCAACCCAAGGGCCTCCCTATGTCCCAAGGAACCCAAATGCTAGTGGCAGCAGCTGCTTGGTGTGTCAGGGCAGGGTCAGAAAGGATGGAAAAGGGGATAGGTGCCCTTCAGGAGATCAGCTCTGAGATTCAGTGTTTTCAGATGGAGGTGTAAGGTTTCTTCTTGGACTAGAGATTGGGAGCGTGGACGGTGTAATGTCAATACACTCCTTCTCCTTCTTAGTTATAATTAGTGCAGCCAGGCGAACAGCTCCAGAGCCAGGCAGGGAGCTGCTGGGCAGGTCTGACTTGGAGGGTGTTATCACACAGTTTGGAAGCACAAGAGAACAGAACAGTTCAGGGCTTGCTGCTTGTCTGATTCTGTGCTGACAAAGGCCTACCTCATCCCAAGTGTGGATTTCAGCTCCAAGCACCAGGCTCAGCTCTGTTCCTAACCCCAGACAGGCAGTGATGCAAAGCTGCCACAAGACAGACTGCAGCCAACTGCAGCTCTAAACTGAGACATGGTCTCAGGACAACACCTAACACTTTATCAGCTGTCACTGGGGAGGCAAATGCCAACACTGAGCTAACACATCAGTGTAAGAAAAAATTAACCCCCCTCATCCCCTGGAACCAGAGTGCACGACTTCAGTGAGCCCTGCAACCTCAGAGCTCAGCCTGGGGGCTGCAGCTGAGGGACCAAGGGCTGCAGGAGAGATAACCTGGGAGCAGACAGCTCTGCAGCAGGGGGTAAAGGGCACCTTGCTAACACACCACTTCTGGCACGTAGCTCTTGTCAAAGCCTTCAGCAAACATCGACTGGAGGATTCTAGGTGAGGAAACCTGCCTTTTGCCACTGAGCAGGGATCCAAGGATGAGCTATTGAGTCCTGCACACGCAGAGCTGGTATCTGTCTGCATCTGATACCATCTGCCCCCACACCAGAGGCTCTCCCAGGGAGCTGGGAGTAGCTCGCTGTTTGCTAACACTTATCAGGGAAGGACTTAAGTCTTAAAAGACTTGGACAAACCTTACATAAGACTTTTACTGCTGAATTCACATCTGCTAGGAGCATACTCGATACTGTATCAGGCCTTGCTCCCTGCTCCAGCACAAGTCTCATGCATTTAGCTCCCAAAATCCCAGAAGAGTTTGGGTTGGAATGGGCCTTAAAACCATCTAGTCCAACCCCTGCCAAGGGCAGGGACACCTTCCATTAGCCCAGGCTCCTCCAAGCCCCATCCAACCTGGCCTGGAACACTCCCAGGGATGGGGCAGCCACAGCTGCTCTGGGCAACCTGTGCCAGTGGCTCAGCACCCTCACAAGGAACAATTTCCTCCTAAAAAATGGCCAGAATCAGACTACTGCAAAGGCTTCAAATCCAGTGCTGCACAACTGGCCTCAAGAATTATAACCAAACCTTCACAGCTTGCAGGGGAAAATGGGGTTATATGTTCCAAGCAACAGCATTTCTCTTGTAAAATTACTCCAATTTTAAGGTCTTTTATTTCCCAGGAAATGTCCCGTTGCATTTGCAGAGAGGTCTTGAGAATTGGGCTCTTTGCAGCATGACTGGAGCTCCTAGTGAGCTTTTTTGAGCTCAGCCTGCTGCAGTTTCACCCTACAGACTTCCACCTGGAGTTTCTATCCACCAGTTCCATCCACAGCCTTTCACTACACTCAGAAGTTTCCTGTGCTGTTGTTTTTGAGGGGTTTGTGCACCCAGCAGCTGAATCTGGTGCTGCACAGCTTACTGGGTCTCTCCTGGGTGTGCAGAAAGTGCACCCAGCACCTGGCCTGGCTGTGCATCTGCAGGACCTGGAGCTTCTCCCTGTTAAGTGATCACTTCCTACACCTCCCTCAAAAAAACCCCAGGATGGTTAACATCCTGTGGGAATTCCCTCCTGAGCAGCATGGCAGGAGCTGGAGCAACAGTCAGGAAGGGCTGCTAAGAGAAAAGGGAGGAAGAGGTGAATCCTATCTGTGCCAACCTGTATTTATTATTGTAAGCTTCTACTTTGTTCATGACACAACCAGCTCAGGAGACTTCACAAGGAGCAGCTTTATCTCACTCTACCTGACTTCTGAGGTAGTTTTGGAGAGTCCTGACCAGTCCAGTTCAGTGCCATTGCCTGATGGCTGCATGCAAACCCCATCCCTGACATTGATCTCACCTTTGAAGGCCTCAGTGGCCCCTGGCGCGTGGTTCTTGTCCGGGTGGAACTTGAGCGCCAGTTTCCGGTAAGCCTTTTTCAGATCCTCATCAGAAGCTTCTCTGCTGACTCCCAGAATTTCATAGTAATCCTTGCACTGCTTGACCCTGTCCAGAGGAGAGGGGACAGAACAGGCACACTCAATTTCAGCAGTGAAAAGCTCTTTGCCTTGAACACGTCACCTCTGTGACACACAACGGTTTGGCTGATGTTGCTCAGCGATCTCTGCATTACTCAGCCCTCACTGCTCACAGGGTGACCCAGATGTTTCACTGCCTCATTCCAGCATTCCCAGCAGACACAAACTGCCATGGAACAGGCCAGACCAGTGAGGTGGCAGGGCCTCTCCCCAGGCTGTGGTATCACCCACGGAGGAATGCGATGGGCAAACAACCCTCAGCACCATCATGCTCACGTGCTGGAGGCTGCTGGGAGGGACCATAGGAGCTGAGGGATTCCTGGGATGTTGGCTTGTTCCCCACTCTCTCCTCAGCTAATTCCCAGCTCTAACAAGCACATCAACTGTATTTTGGAGGAGGACGGAGGGAGCTGCCCAGGCCTGGGTGTGCAGCTCCTGCTGGGTACACTCCCAAACATGATTTCTCCTCCTCACATGAGCTGGATGAGACAGCATCCAGCAGGATGGGTTGGGGACAGGTGGATGATGTAACAAGCAACACTGCAAGTCCCTCAGAAGAGTTCTTGCACAATCCAGAGCCTTAAGCAAAGTTTACCAAGTGACTGTGCCTGCAGCTGAGTCCTCCAACGCTCAGCACGTGCAGGTGGAGAGGGATAAAGGACAGCCTGAGTTAAAGCCAGGCTGGATAAAGCCTTGAGCAACCTGCCCTGGTGGGAGGTGTCCCTGCCCAGGGCAGGGGGTTGGGACTGGATGATCTTTAAGGTCCATTCCAACCCCTTAACACTCTGTGATTATGTGAAACAGGGCTTGGAAAATGGGGAGACCCAACCCAGCTGCCTCCCAGGGCTGCTGGAGCTATGAATCCTCGTGGGGATGCTCTGAGCACACACCATGTGGTTCCCAGCTGGAATCTTTAAAGCACTGTGGAAACCAGCCTGGTACCATGTGATAAACCCAAACAGAGAGCCACGGAGAGCTGTCACTCACCTCTTCACTGCATCTACCTGGTCCTGAGTGTAGCCCTTGGGGGCCTCCCCACCAGCCTCTCCATTGGCCGATGGGAAGTCTCCGCTCATCTTCCTGAACTGAGGGTGTGAGGACTCCTTGGATTGGGATTGGCCATTGGCTGATTGCTCATTCTTGTTGAGTGACTCCAACAGAACTGAAACCAGGGAAACACAAAGAATTGGAAATGAGAAGTTAAGAAACCACCAAGCTCAACCTGCCCTTCAGGTCTCCCAAGGAGAGATTCCTCTTCATCTCTGCCACTGCTCCAAGACCCCCTACACTTCCTCAGGAAGGCCTTCATCTTCCCACCCAAGGAACTTTGGTCAGGAAGGCCCTCACCTTTCCACCTAAGGAACCCTTCCTCAGGAAGACCCTTTTCACCCAAGGAACCCTCTAGCTCCTGCTGCTTCTTGCCCAGACGTAAGGGTGAAGATGCTGAAGCCACTCCCTGCTTCTTCCAACACACACAACCTCCATAAAACCCCTAGGACTACCCAGCCAGGCAGCCCAGAAGCTACAGTGGATCATCCTTGTCCTCTTCCCCCCATTCTTCCTTAAGAGTGAAACATGTCCAAATTGATTTACAACATATCACAAACCACATTATTCCTCTTTACATGCTGCCTGAGCCAACTGTGCTGGGGAATGACGTGCTGGTGCCATCTCTTTAGAGAGGTTACGAAATGCTCCTGTGGGATGCCATTCCCACAGGGACACTCCCCTCTGGGACAGACCTGCAGCACTGTTGGCTGCCAGCACCACAGGCCCTGTTACACCTGAGTCAGGCTGTGCTCTCACCCATGTGTTAGGAGCAGCTGTGAAACCATTTTCCTTCTTCATTACTGGCTATGAACTGCTTAAATTCACTTTCCCTTTCCTTTTCCTCCTCACAAGGCTCAGGCACAGAATCACAGAGTCATTAAGGTTGGAAAATACCTCTGAGATCATCAAGTCCAACACGTGACCACTAGATCATGGCACTAAGTGCTACGTCCAGTCTGTCTTTAAACCCCTCCCAGGGGTGGTGACTCCACCTGGGCAGCACATTCCCAAGCCTAAAGGCACTGAACTCCATTCTTTCCAGCCCAGAGGGGCCAAACATCCAGGCCCGGCCCAAGCACACAGGTGACACAACCACAGGAGACTCCTCCAAGCTCAGAGGTCTCTTTCCATCATGCATTTCCTTGGGATAGCATCATCCTTTCAGCTATATTTCAAATCAGCTATTAGACTGATTTCTCCATCGCCGACACATCTCTTACAGCTAACCCAGACACTGCTATTTGCAGATGTCTCAGCATCCCAATGAGCTTGCAGTCGTTTATCCAGAGCCCAGAACTGGGAAGGACATTCCACCTCCTCCCATGGACTGCACACTACAGACCTTGCACTATGGGGTATCGCCTTCTTCAGGCAAGTGCAAACAACACCTGCAGGCCAAGAAGTGAGCAGAGATATCCTATCTGCCCCCAGGGCTTGGAGGGGCAAGACAAATTCACTCAGTAACCCAAGACCCCATATAGGATGAAGGATAAAAACGACAGTGGTCTGAGGAGCAGCAACTCACTGGATGAGCTTTGGGCTTTCACAGATTTGGGCTTCTAGTAGAATAAATCCTGCCCTCCCTCATACTCACACCACTGCAGCATTCATAGAACTAGGGTCTTAGCTTTTGCTTCTTCCAAACCTGCAGCAAACCACTAGGCACTGTTACATTTCACCTCATGAGGCTGTTCCCACCCCCTTCCTGCTGCTTTGGGCTCAACTCCCTACAGACTGCCAACACATGTTGAGAAGGGCTGGAAGGACCTTACAGATCATCTCATTCCACCCCCTGCCATGGGCAGGGATACCTTCCACCAGAACAGGTTGCTTCAAGCTCCATCCAGCCTGGCCTGGAAGACTTCCAGGGATGGAGCAGCCACAGCTTCTCCGGGCAATCTGTGCCAGTGCCTCACCAACCTCACAGGGAAGGATTTCTTCCCAATATCCCATCTAACCCTGCCCTCTAGCACTGTAAAGCCATACCCCCTTGTCCTGTCACTGCAGTTTCTAACCAAGAGTCCCTCTGCAGCTTCCCTGGAGCCCCTTCAGATCCTGGCAGGTTGCTCTGAGGTCTCCACACAACCTTCTCTTCTCCAGGCTGAACAGTCCCAACTGTCACCCTGTCCTTGTAGGGAAGGTACCTCAGTCCTTTATCAACTTCGTGGCCTCCTCTGGACTTGCTCCAACAGTTCCATGTCCCTCTGATCCTGAGGCACCAGAATTGTGTGCAGAACTCTAGACGGGTCTCACCAGAGCAGAGGGGCAGAATCCCCCTTGCTCACAAAGCCCTCCTGGCCCTCCTGCAGCCCCAACACAGGGTCACAAACTCAGGGATACTGAAGCAGGGAGTGCTGGATTAGTTCCCACTTCTGCCACCTCTCCCAGCATGTGCCATGGAGCAGCTTTTCCTGCCTATTATCCAACACCTGTCTGACTCCTGATGTGTTTTCCCCAGTCCCTCTCAGAGTGACCCAGTGAGTGGCTGTGCCCACTCCAAGGTGCTTCTGTGTGTGGCCACACCAGATCTGTGCTGCAATCCCCTTGCCAAAGCCTTTGCTGTCCCTGTGCTGACACCCAGGAGGCCCAGCCAGGGCTGCAGCTGAGCAAGGGCCACATCACTGAGTGTTGCCAAACCTCCTGCAACTCGTGGGAAGTAGAATTCCCAGGGGTGCAGCAGTCACATGGAGACTCAGTGACCAGTGTGACAACAGAGGGTCTCTGGCAGCATTTCCCAGCTACAGGGGCAGGAAAGCAGCAGGACATCAAGTCAAGGGTCCCTAGGGGTGGAACTTGGTTGGGTCTGGCCACAGGACACTGTGTTTAACATTAACCTGCTCTGTGCCCTCTGGGCTCTGCTTTCCTACCCTGGAATTTCACAGAGGAGGAACTCTAGAGGGAAGGAAAACCACCCTGCACTGACTCTGTGTCTGAGGGAGAGGGAAGAGCCCTGGCACAGTCAAGAATCACAGGAAGCCTTGGGACAAAGTGCCAAAGAATCAAAACTCAGATGAGGTCAAAGTACAACAAACTAAACCCACAGCACTTTGCATAAGTTTGTGCAAGGTGAGGACAGGCAGGGGAGGAACTGTGACTGCTCTGACAGGGTACCTCCCATCTGGCTCTGAGTGACACCTTCATTAAAGCTTCCAGGAAATGAGATTGTTCCTCAGCATTCCTAAATCTGGCAGAATGTCCTCAAGGAGAAGGAGGGAGAGGAGGAGGAACAGAAGAAGAGGAGGAGGGAAAGAATAAGAGGAGGAACAGGAAGAATAAGAGAGGAGAGGAAGAATAGGAGGAGGAGTGGAGGGAGAGAAGAATAGGAATAGGAGGAGAAGACAAATAGTAGGAAGAGAGGAATAGGAGGAGTGGGAGGAGGAATGAAAGGAGATGAGGAATAGGAGAAGAGGAGGAGGCACAGGAGGAAAAGAGGAATAGGAGGGTAAGGGTAGGAACAAGAGGAGGAATAGGAAGAGAAGAAGAGGAATAGGAGAAAAAGAGGATGAGGAACAGGAGAAAAGGAATATGAGAAGAGAAGGAGAAGATAAATAGTAGGAAGAGAGGAATAGGAATAGGTGGAGAAGAGGAGGAGGAGGAGAAGAGGAATAGGAAGGGGAGAGGAAGAGAGGAAGAGGAGGAACAGGAGATACAGGAGTAGACGAGGAGGACTAGGAGAAGAGGATAAGGAGAGAGGCGAAATGCCTTTACAGCCTCTCCCCGCTCCCTGCCCAGCCCCTCGTCCCCCCGAAGAG